GCCGGGGGGCGGGCAGACTGCTCCTGGGGAGCGGTGGAGGGCTGGCTGCCAGTGGCTTGCTGGCTTATGTTTTGGGGCCACTGGGTGACTGCTGGCTCTGGGCTGGCAGGCTTGGAGCTGGCACAGGCACCATGGCCAGAGTCAACCTGTTTAAGGGCTCCAAGGAGAGGGGAGGGAGAGGAATGTTCCTGGTTGAGGCCAGAGTGGCCACCAGGGGGCCCTGGGAAGGCTGGAGGCCCCCATTTCAATATAATTGTCTACCACATGGAATGAGGTTTACCAAATTCAAAATAATTGGGGAAGCTATCTTTGTAATGAGTAAGATAATTAGAGTCTTTATTCAAACTTAAGTTTGAAGTAAATTTCCTTTTAATAAGTCCCCCAATTATCACCTCTAATATCAATATCTATAGCTCACATACATTAACCTCCCACCTCATCCCCCCTCTGTTCTGAAATTTGCATCTTCCTTCTGTTTTGAAATTTGATTTGTCCTTTTCATATGTGTTCATTTTTTTAATTGTATCCTTTGGTATAAATGGTTGTGACAATTTTCTTCCACTATTTGATCTGAGGAAGTGGGTCTGGCCCACGTAAGCTCATCACCTAATAAACCATCTTGTTAGTCTTTAAAGTGCTGCATAGTCCTGTTTTCTGTTTCAACAAATAGTTTAGTACACCTTAAAGATTAACAAAACATGTAGATGGTATCATGAGCTTTCATGGGCACAGCCCACTTCTTCACATGACAGGAGTGATCTATTTTTCACAATATATACATGAGATCATGAGTTTTCATGTGCAAAATCTGTCAATTTTCACCTCAGTGCCCTTGCTCACTTCCACGGGTAGCTGGTGTGATGTCGATATTATGCTGGATCACCACCAAGCAAAGGACTTCAAGGCACGTCTGGCTCAATAAAGTTGTACAGTTCGCAATATTGTAGTCAAGCCGAATTCTCTTCCGGGACTCAATTCTCTTGGCTACTCATAGACTGAGATGCAATGACTGATGTTTCCCATTGGTTTCCTTATCCATTGGTTGAGAGCAGCATGTGCCCAGACCCTTGCCAAACACAGTTTTCTCTGCATTATGCAGGGTAAAGAGATTTTACTCAATGGCTCATCATCGGCCCTTTAACTTTACAATCAATATAAAAGGGAAATGAAGAGGTACATTGAATGAGAATGACAGAGTCCCAACTTCACAGGCACGGAGTCATGACATGAATCTTGGCGTGACAAGTGATAGGGAATAGCCAGCATGGGTTTGTGAAGAACAAGTCATGCCAAACTTATCTGATAGCTTTCTTTGATAGGATAACGAGCCTTGTGGATAAGGGAGAAGTGGTGGATGTCATATGCCTAGACTTTAGTAAGGCATTTGATACGGTCTCGCATGATATTCTTATTGATAAACTAGGCAAATATAACTTAGATAGGGCCACGATAAGGTGGGTGCATAATTGGCTGGATAACCGTAGTCAGAGAGTTGTTGTTAACGGTGCTAAATCCTGCTGGAAAGGGATAACAAGTGGAGTTCCGCAAGGGTCTGCTTTGGGTACTGTTCAATATCTTCATCAATGATGTAGATATTGGGATAGAGAGTACGCTTATTAAGTTTGCAGATGATACCAAACTGGGTGGGGTTGCAACTTCTTTGGAGGATAGGGACATAATTCAAAATGACCTTAGCAAGTTAGAGAAATGATCAGAGGTAAACAGGATGAAGTTTAATAAAGAGAAATGCAAAGTGCTCCACTTAGGAAGGAACAATTAGTTCCATACATACAAGATAGGAAGCAACTGTCTAGGAAGGAGCATGGCGGAAAGGGACCCAGGGGTCATAGTGGACCACAAATTGAATATGAGTCAACAGTGTGATGCTGTTGCAAAAAAAACAAATATGATTCTAGGTTGTATCAACAGATGTGTTGTAAGCAAAACTCGTGAAGTCATTCTGACGCTCTACACTCGTGAAGTCATTCTGCCGCTCTACTCTGTACTAGTTAGGCCTCAGCTGGAGTACTGTGTCCAGTTCTGGGCGCCACATTTCAAGAAAGATGTGGAGAAATTGGAAAGGGTACAGAGAAGAGCGACAAGAATGATTAAAGGTTTAGAGAACATGACCTATGAAGCCAGGCTTCGTGAACTGGGCTTGTTTAGTTTGGAAAAACGAAGATTAAGGGGGGACATGATAGTGGTTTTCAAATATCTAAAAGGGTGTCACAAGGAGGAAGGAGAAAATTTGTTCCTCTTGGTTTCTGAGGACAGGACAAGGAGTAATGGGCTTAAAGTGCAGCAGGGGAGGTTTAGATTGGACATTAGGAAAAAATTCCTAACTGTCAGGGTGGTCAAATATTGGAATAAATTGCCAAGGGAGGTGGTGGAATCTCCCTCTCTAGAGATATTTAAGAACAGGTTAGATAGACATCTGTCAGGGATGGTGTAGACGGAGCTTGGTCCTGCCTTGAGGGTGGGGGGCTAGACTCGATGACCTCTCGAGGTCCCTTCCAGTCCTATGATTCTATTATTCTATCTTAGACCTTGACATGAACTTGTAAGGTGAATCTAATGTTTGGCATTGAAACATGTAATCCCAATACCTGTTATTACTCCTATAATAATACAACTCTTTGACCATATAAAACATGAGAGGTTGTGAAATGCTTTATATGCCTAGATCAGAGGAAGCTCCAGACAATCCACCATGAAAGTTATAATTAGACCAGTTTGCCATGGAGGTCAATGAAGGCATGTTAAGGTGAAGGTCAGTCAGGGAGAGATTGGTGAATGAAAAAAATATAAAAAAATGGTTTTTTCCATTATACGTACAATATAATGGGGACTAATTTAGCTACAACTACTCAAGAGAGAGCGAACTTGGAATCACTGTGGATCGTTCTCTGAAAACATCCACTCCGTGTGCAGCGGCCGTCAAAAAAGCAAATAGAATGTTAGGGATATTTTGAAAAGGGACAGAGAATACCTTAATGCTTCTCTATAAAACCATGGTACACTCAGATCTTGAATACTGTGAACAGATGTGGTTGCCTCATCTCAGCAAAGATCTCTTGGCATTGAAAAAGGTTCAGAAAATGGCAACAACAATTATTAGCATTTGGAAGGGGTCCCATATGAAAAGAGATTAAAAAGACTGGGACTTTTCAGCTTAGAGAAGAGGAGACTAAGGGTGGATATGAGAGAGGTCTGTAAAATCAAGACTGGTGTGGAAAAAGTGAAGAAGGAAAAGTTATTTACTTATTCCCACAATATAAGAACTGGGGGCACCAAACTAAATGAATAGATATCAGGTTGAAAACAAACAGACGGACATTTTTCTTCACTCAGAGCACAGTCAGTCTTTGGAACTTCTTGCCAGAGGATGTGGTGAAGGCCTGGACATTAACAGGGTTCAAAACAGAGTTTGATAGATTCATGGAGGTTCGGTCCATCAGTGGCTATGAGCCAGGATGGGTAGAAATGTCCCTCGCCTCAGTCTGTCTGAAAATGGGTGACAGAGGAGGGATCACGTGAGGATTACCTGTAGTGTCCCCTCCCTCTGGGGCACCTGGTACTGAACATTGTCGGCAGACAGGACACTGGGCTGGATGGAGCATTGGTCTGACCCAGGATGGCCGTTCTTATGTTCTTAAGGTTAGGACCCTGAATCTCCTGATCTTCACTGGACACTTACCATCCACCACTTCCAAATACGTCATGCACCTGAGAGTACCTCTTCGAGAGGCTTCGTCTGGCATTTCTCTTATTTTATTGTGATGATTTTGGGGAAAAGTTTGGGTGAAACATTGTCTGATGTAAGTGTGAACCAAGATCTACAGTCGGTATTTTGCAGTCCATTATAGCCCCTTTTACTTGCAGGGGATGGCTCAGTGATGGCTATTTACATATGAGCAGATTTTAATGATATTGTACAAAAGTTTATCGCATTGGATTTCAGTGTGGACAGTTTTATTCCTGCCCTGCATGTGACCAGCTTGAAATGTGCATCCTTGGAATTAATTGAATAATTATTATCCTGACAGGTAAAAATGGCTAAAGTTAGAAACATGGCCTACTTTGTACCGCATTCCACACATCGTGAACAATTACATACCAATGAGTCATGACGACCCATCAGAGAGATGTGTTCCCAAGCAAAGAAAAAGTTGAATATACAGGGCAGTGGGCAATTTGATTCCAATGGTGTCATGCTTCAAAGGAAGTATTGGTACTGGAATTCTATATGTCACTTTACAACTCTACCACAATTAAATAAATGATATCCATAGGACAGAGTATAATTCCTTTGGAGAAGGATTGTCTTCAGGTATAAAGAAGACACAGTTAAACTGGACCAAACTTTAGCCAGCTTTAATAATTGATTCTTACATCAAAGGATGCACACTTTTTAAACAAGACATGAAATTATCTGGCTGTCAACAAGGGTATAACCATGATGGACTTAGAATTTCTGACTCTACAAGATAAATTTGGTTTTGTGTTTCTATTTCACCACCTCACACCCATATGATCTTCACCTCAAAGTGCCTCTTTAACGACACCTATAAAACAGGGATATGTCAAGGATGTTAAAACGGGAAATTATTCAGAGTTCTTTGAAATGATGATTTCAAAGGACTTCAAAACACTCATTGTTGTTTAATACATGCAAAGCAAGGTACTCTTAATTAATGATAAATTATTCTGAGATTAGATGCCTCTGCAATGAGTAAGAGTCACTTAAAAAATAGAGGCCAAGGTTTCTCGTGTCACTCCTTAAACTGGGTCATGATGGAGAGTCACAGAATTTGGAATTTATTTTTTTTTGCCTTCAAATATATTTTTTCATTTGGTATTTAAAATATATTTTATAGAAAAATATGGTGCCCTTCTTGATGTAAATTAGTAAAACATTTTCCTTCAGTTTTAAGGGCCTGAAGCAGTTTCTACCTTCTTCTCCAGCTGTAAAAACATTGCTATGGATGAGTTTTACAGTTAGACCATCATTCAAGATCTTGAAGGAATGTTTTGTGAAACACGACCTATACCTGATCAGATTTCATGTCCTATCATACCCCAGCACCATCTCCTCCTCACCAAGAATCGATGAGCTCCACCTCCTCTGGGGTCTCTCAGGCCCTATTCAAATGTATTATCCTACAAGACCTCACTTTTCTGTCAGCTCAGCCACAGAAAGAACATTTCGGATAGAGTCCATGCTCCATGGCTACACTCAAAAGCTTTCCATCAAAGAGCCCTGCTTCCTGTCCCAGGCCTCCATCCCTTCCCTGAACTTATGAGGAAATCAACTTCCTGCAGCCCCTTGAGACCGCATTGGTGACACAAGCAGAGGTCCAGTGACAGGTCAAATTTCAGTCATCAGTCGGAGAACTTCACTCCTCAGAGAAGACCACGTTGTATTTTATTGCATACTCAGAGACTGTGTAAAGCGGGAATGTGGATGCACCTACACATTATTCTCTCTTCCAGCCAAAGGCAAATTTAAGAACTGAGCTCCTGATAGAAAATACACTGCAGACAGTGGAGTGACTGATTGCACCTAGAATGGGATGTGAACATTCAATATTTGTAAGAAAGCACAACAATAGCTCTCCGCATCCAACCAAATTTAGAATAAACTACACAATGTCCCCAAGAGTGCCCAACATGAAGCAAAAGATCAAACTGGATTTCTGCTTGTGAGACCCAGTTGTGCTTTTCATCCAGCCGTGAATCACCTTGACATTTGCTCTCATTGCACCACCAAGGGAATGCAAAGTGTAATGTGCATCAATGGGATTAGCCCTAATAACAATAACGCCCAGCCCTGGGAAAGCAGCTGCATCAAAAGGAGGATGTACCAAGTGAACCAAGTTTGTGTGATAACTAATTGGGGGTTCCTGTACAACACGCACCATAAACCCTCCAGGCCATCCTAGAACCTGTATAAAAGCACCCGAGACACTGAACTCTTCTAAACACTTCTCTGGACTTCATCTCCTCGGTGATCTCGGTAAGTCCAATTTGACTCCAGCTCTTTCTCCTCCGAGATATGTCACAGTAGGGGCCATATCCACTTTACAGTGAATCTTGCCTGGGTTCTCTCTAATTTCTAATATGCATGAGGCTGGTCTTCCATATTTATCCCACGTAGTTATTCAGTTGCAAGTTGTGGTGGATGTATGATTTGAAGCCAAAAGTGTGGGAGGGAGGGGATTAGGAGCAACACTTGAAATTGGAAAACAGATTTCCTATTAACTGGAAACAAATTAAAGCTTTAACCTTTAAAGGAACTATAGAAAGTCCTTTGCTCATTTCTCACCGAGCTAGATTGGGAAGAAACTTTCCCAGCAAACTCCATACACGGGCAATTCAGCACTCTTCTAATGTATTCTAAAGCCACTGCTGCACCTCTCCATTGGGGATCAGACAGTTCTTAAGCTGTCAACTGGTGTGATCCAATGTACCAGTTCCTCTGTTCTCGTGTGTATGTATCCCCATGGAAGATGCTTCTCCTGAGATGGTATAAGTGTGGCTTCCCCATTGAAGTCATTTTAGCCCAGTTGAGGATATTGTCCTTTGTGATTTACATGAGAAAAAGAAAAGTTTCTCTTCCGTCGTCAGCAAGCAGGACTAGTTAAGACAGCTCATTCGAAGGAGATGGGCACTTCTGTCGATGTCAGTGTTGTCAGCACCTTGACTTCAGCTATGCAATTAATGTAGCTGAAGTTGCGTGTCTTAATTCAATGTTGTCCCGCAATGCAGATGGACTTGGAGGGAAATGTGTTAAATGGACACAGAATCCAGATTTCCATCAATTAAATAGCTACACTGTTTCCAGGCTGTTTATTTCAGACAAAATCATTGAAAAAGTTTCAAAGGGGCCCTTTGGGAGGGAAGTTTCGTGTGAGTGTACAAGAGCCATAAAAGGGGAAGTAAGAACAAATACATACCCGTGAACATTGCATAGAAATCCAGTCTTCCTCTTTCTATCAGGTCCCATGTAGATCCCCATTGAACTATGAGACAATTCCTCAACAAATAGATGAACCTTCTCTTTATTCCATTTTATTCTATTTCAGGTTTACCTCCATCACACAAAGATGTCTTGCTATCCAGAATGCGGGGTGGCCCGACCCAGCCCAGTTTCCAGCACCTGCAACGAGCCATGCGTAAGGCAGTGCCCTGACTCCGAAGTGGTGATCAGACCCTCACCGATTGCTGTGACCATCCCAGGGCCCATTATGAGCACCTTCCCTCAGCAGAGTGAAGTGGCAGCTCTCGGAGCCCCTGTGGTGGGATCTGGCTATGGCGGCTCATTTGGTGCGGGAGCACTCTCTGGCTATGGAGCTCCTTATGGGGGATACTACGGCTTGGGAGGATTAGGAGGTTATGGGGGACGTTTTGGTTATGGGGGTCTCTGTGGTTATGGAGGTGGTTATGGTTACGGGAGAGGTTTTGGGGGACTCTGTGGTTATGGGGGAGGTTATGGGGGACTCTGCGGTTATAGGGGAGGTTACGGTTATGGAGGATCTTGTGGCACCGGGGTATCTTGTCATAGGTACCTGAGTGGAAGCTGCACCCCATGTTAGACACGGCAGGAATCTCTATTGCCAAAGGAAAGGCCAGGAAATGAACAACAACCTATAGATCCGATATCGATTTCAGAAGGGCTGTGCCGGCCTGGCTCCAGCACAGCCCCTTTCACTCATGGACCCATTCCTAATGTCTTGCTAGGAACTGTTTCTGCCAATGCTTTCCCAGCCACATGCTTCTTCTCTTAGTCACTTGTGGATTCACTGAGAATTACGCTCACTGTGTTTGTACTAACTCCGCAGTGTGAAGGAAACAGGCATCAGTTGCATATATTAAATTTTTGGCCAACCTGGCAGCTGCAACAAAAGAAAAAGAACTTTTGCCTCGAATAGCCCATATTAAAACACCAGGGAAACATTCTCTCTGTTTTGCATTTTCACTTTCTGTAATTGTGTATTGCAAATGTCATTCACATTAAAAACTCTGCTGCATGAGAATATCAGTCTTGTTGTTCTCCTGATTCCTCCTTCTTTCTTTAAAAATTATCCAGGATGAAATACCTCCCTGTGTTTCAGGAAGCAATAGAGAATTCTCAAATAGCAATTTTGGAAGGGATGGAAAGAGGGGAGAATAAAGGTGCATGGCATTATGCAGGTCACCTGCACAGGGGTGGAATTCCTCCTCGCACAGCAGTGAAGACCGTTAATTGAATGTACATGGCTCAGTGGAATAAAATATTCAACAGAGGTCATGAGAACGCTTGGGTTTGTCTACAATGCATAGGAACACATCTGCTCTTCCGGAGTAGACAGGCCAAATGTCAGAAAATCTCTTCTGAAAAAAGAAGCAGAAAAAATAGTTAAGTCAAGTGAGAGCTACAAAAATATCGTACAACAATACGGTGGAAAATATCTTTCTGTCTGCAGTCCCTGCAGGAACAAGCCATGGTACAGCCTTGCCTGTTGATATGTTGATATGCATGGTACAGCCTTGCCTGTTGATATGTTGATATGCATGGTACAGCCTCGCCTGTTGAACAAGCCATGGTACAGCCTTGCCTGTTGATATGTTGATATGCATGGTACAGCCTCGCCTGTTGAACAAGCCATGGTACAGCCTTGCCTGTTGATATGTTGATATGCATGGTACAGCCTCGCCTGTTGAACAAGCCATGGTACAGCCTTGCCTGTTGATATGTTGATATGCATGGTACAGCCTCGCCTGTTGAACAAGCCATGGTACAGCCTTGCCTGTTGATATGTTGATATGCATGGTACAGCCTCGCCTGTTGAACAAGCCATGGTACAGCCTTGCCTGTTGATATGTTGATATGCATGGTACAGCCTCGCCTGTTGAACAAGCCATGGTACAGCCTTGCCTGTTGATATGTTGATATGCATGGTACAGTCTCGCCTGTTGTACAAGCCATGGTACAGCCTCGCCTGTTGATATTTATCCCACGTAGTTATTCAGTTGCAAGTTGTGGTGGATGTATGATTTGAAGCCAAAAGTGTGGGAGGGAGGGGGTTAGGAGCAACACTTGGAATTGGAAAACAGATTTCCTATTAACTGGAAACAAATTAAAGCTTTAACCTTTAAAGGAACTATAGAAAGTCCTTTGCCTGATTCTCACCGAGCTAGATTGGGAAGAAACTTTCCCAGCAAACTCCATACACGGGCAATTCAGCACTCTCCTAATGTATTCTAAAGCCGCTGCTGCACCTCTCCATTGGGGATCAGACAATTCTAAGTTGTCAACTGGTGTGATCCAATGTACCAGTTCCTCTGTTCTCGTGTGTATGTATCCCCATGGAAGATGCTTCTCCTGAGATGGTATAAGTGTGGCTTCTCCATTGAAGTCATTTTAGCCCAGTTGAGGATATTGTCCTTTGTGATTTACATGGGAAAAAGAAAAGTTTCTCTTCCGTCATCAGCAAGCAGGACTAGTTAAGACAGCTCATTCGAAGGAGATGGGCACTTCTGTCGATCTCACAAGAATGTTCGTATGGAGCACCGTGAGATACAATGACCTCCAAGAGCCATTAGGTTCTCAGATTGAATTAATAATAATCTGTGCATTAATCTCTTCATAGCACATGTGGGATTCCTGACTCAGGAGGTGACTTAGGCATAATGAAATTTGGCTACATGGAGGAATGAATGTTGGCGGGGAGGTTTGCAACATTCTGGAATTAACCACTGGTCATGTCATTTGACCAAGCAGGGGAGGTTCCTGCCGGCCAGTCAAAGCACACATCAAGAGAAAGAACGAGAAGATTACTTTAAATTAGTTTAATTGCTGCTTTGAGATCCAAAATCTCACTGCAAAGTGAGCACCCTGTTGTGTCAAGGGACAGACTGGTTGGAGTCACACCCTCATTAGGTTGTCAGAAAAGACTGCTTTCGAGATCTCTGCAAAGCGCTGCATGGAGATCCCAGCAGAGGAAAACACACGAATGTTGGTTTAAAAGGAGGAATACTCTGCTACAGGGCTGCTGACTCTGTAATTCCATTTCAGCAGATTTTCTTTCTGAGAATGGATTATTGAAAATGTTTTCAAAATCTAATTCCAGAGATGCACCCTTTTGAAATCCATCCTTGGCACCGAGTGTAGCAATAGCAGTGGGACTAGGGACTGGTTTGGTCCAAGGCCTCCAGATAAATCATCTGTGACAAATGGACAGAGCAGTAACCTATCTGACATTCGTGTGTATGAAGCACACAAAGCTTGGAGCTGGTGAGTCGGTAGCAAAGCTCCCCCTGGAGTTCAGATGGAGACGAGCTTCCCAGTGAAGAGTCAGACTTCCTGGCTATAGAAGCAACAGGCTCCCATCTTGAATGTCACTCAGCCTGTCAAGGCATCTGGGGAAGAGTTAACTCTGTATTCTCCAAGTGGTTTGGTGGCTGCTTTTCTTTTGCATCTGGTAATCTGGGATTTAGCCCAAAAACTCTCATAAAGATGCTCATTGTAAATAACAGGTTTGGATTCTTGAAACCACAGCAACCTCCGCACCCTTATGATACAAAATTTGTTAAGTCTTTGTAGCAAAATGCTCTTTGCTAAAAAGTTAATGCAAGGAGAAACTCAGCCCCCATGCAGACAGCTGACATAAAGCTACGAGCCTTCCTAAAGCTCTTACTTCTCCCATCCCTCCATGGCTTTGAAATTTGCAACTTGCTCAGTAGTTATTTAGGAGAAAGAGAGTAACAAGTGTTCAAAATAGCAGGTGATCTTGCTTGCTTGCTCGCTTTCTCAATCTGTATTTCATTCCATCTCTCTCTTTTGATGTTCTCATGACCTCAGTGGAACATTTCGTTCCACTGAGCCATGTACCTTCAATTAACTCTCTTCTCTGCGGTGTGTTCCTGATCTATCTCCACTGCAGCAGGAGGTCTTGTTTCAGAACTGTGTGGACTGAAATCCCACAGAGCTTGTGTGCTCGGCTGGAAGAGGCCACACGTACGGCTGTGCCCTGAGTGCACATTGCTGATCCAGCCACCCGCCACTGTCATAAGCTTCTCCAGACCAATTCCCAGCTCTTTGTCTCAGGAAAGCACAGTGGGATCTTAAGCAGCAGCTGATCTTGGAGGGGATACTGGGGCGGTGTGTTGATAGAGCCTTGTAATGTTATGGAAGTTTTTATGTTTCCTGTGCTGAGGAAAGCACATATTGGACCATATGATTGTGTGGAAATATTCTGTTACGGGAGTCTGTATGGTTGTGTAGAAATACAGACGGGGGAATACTGACTGGCCATTAGTACCTTAATGAAAATTGTGGTCTGATTAGGTGGCTTGTACTAGACCCCTACCATGACATCACAATTGTATTTTAACACTTTTAACCTAACCCAGAGACTGATAACAAGTCTGTCTCCTACGATCCTCTCAGTCACAGTAAGTTTCAAGTATGTGCATTTTTGCAAGTAAGCCAACACCTCCCCCCATTTTCGATTTAGCCATGCATTAAAGAACACGTTTCTTGAGCAATTTTGCTTTTGCTTCAGAAACTTGGCTCTTTATCATTTGTAGACTCACCAGAAGCTTATGCAAAGCATGCCATTGATCTTCTTGAAATGAAAAACATGGAGCTATTCCAAGTGAAAATCTGGGTATATCTTTGCAGGAAAAGGCTCTTTGCTAAAACTGGGCATGCAAGAAGGAATTTCACCCTCATGCAGGTGATCTTCATTATACCATGCACCATTATCCTCCCCACATTCCATCCCTTCCAAAATTGCAATTTAAGAATTACTTATTGCGTCCTGAAAGACAGGGATAAATTTGGTCCAGTATCATTTTAAAACAAAGATGGAAGAATCAGGAGAACCAGAAGAAGGAGGAACAAGGAAAACAACATCACTGATATTCTGATGCAGCATGGTTTTTAATGTGAATGAAATTTGCAATAAACAGTTACAGAAAGCAATAACACAAGGCAGGAAGACTGGATTCTCAGTGTTATAATAGGGGCTGCGAATGCATAGGAGGCAAAAGCTTCTTTTTCCTTTGTTACAGCTGTAAATTTAGACAAACAAATTAAACTGATGATAAAAACTGTGTTTTTTAAGGGCCCTGTTCCCTTCCCACTGCGGTGTTCATACAAACACAGTGAGCGTAATTCAGAGTGAGTCAAAACGTGCGAGAGAGAATAAGCTTGTGGTTGGGAAAGCATTGGCAGAAAGTTCCTAGCAAGACATTAGAAATGGGTCAATGAGAGAAAGGGGCTGGGCAGATACAGCTCGTGTGGAGCTCAGCTGGAGACAGGCCAGCATGGCCCTTCTGAAATCGTTATCGGAATCTATCAGTTGCTGTTCATTTCCTGGTCTTTCTTTTGGCCACAGAGATTCCTGCCGTGTCTAACATGGTGAGCCGCATGCACTCAGGTACCTATGACAAGATACCCCAGTGCCATAACCTCTCCCAGAACCATAACGACCTCCATAACCACAGAGTCCCCCGTAACCACCTGATCCTCCCAAGCCAGACAATCCCCCGTAACCAGCCCCAGAGCCGAACAGTCCTCCAGCGCCAAACGAGCCCCCGTAGCCGGATCCCACCAGGGGGGCTCCCACAGCTCCCACTTCGCTGTGCTGAGGGAAGGTGCTCATAATGGGCCCCGGGATGGTCATGGCAACCGGCGAGGGCATGATCAGCACTTGGGAGTCAGGGCACTGCCTCACGCACGGCTCGTTGAAGGTGCCGGAAACTGGTCTGGGTCGGGCCACCCCGCATTCTGTGTAGCAAGACATCTTTGTGTGATGGAGAGAAACCTGAAACACAACAAGGAATGGGACAAAGATAAGTAGTCAGTGGAAGAATGGTCCCATGGCCCATTTCCTGTACGAAAGAGTCTTTATGAGCCCTGATAGAAAGAAGAGGGGTGGATTTAGACACCATTTTCATTGGTATGTATTAGTCTCTATTTCTTCTTTTTATGCCTTTTATCAGCTCACACTAAACTTCCCTCCCAACAGGCCCCTTTCAAATTTTCTCAATGAATATTTTCCAGAACGAAAACCCCATCCTGGTGTAAGTGTGTAATTGATGGAAATCTGGGATTCTATATCCATTTGAGAAACTGGTTCACTGATTCCCACCACCTGGCAGCTTAAGAATTCTCCCATCCCCAAAAGAGAGGGGGAGTAGTTCTTTCACAATGCAGGAGGAAAGTGCTGAATTGGCCGTGTATAGACTAACCTGGGAAAGTTACTTCCGCAACTAAGTAAGTGACCAAAAAGCTAAAGGACTTTCTGAAGTTACTTTAAAAGGTTTAAAAGCCTTAATTCTATTTCCACTTCATAGGAAACATGTTTTGCAATTCCAAAGACTGCTGCTAAAATACCCACCTTTGCCTTCAAACCATGAATCCACCACAGCCTACATCTGAGTCACTACACAAGATAATGAGGGAAGAACACCATCTGTGATAAGAATCACAGCGAGGCAATGCCGTGTTCAGCCTGAAATGGCTGTGCCATCTCTTAGAGGGGAAAGAGATGGAGTCAAATTGGACTTACCGAGATCACCGAGGAGATGAAGTCCAGAGAAGCGGTTAAAAGCATTGTGAGCCACGAGCCCTTTTATACAGTTTCTAGGGCTGCCGAGAAGCTTGATGATGCATTTTTTACACCAAGTCCCAATTAATTATCAAACAAACTGGATTGCCTTGGTAAATTCTGCTTCCGAGGCTCCTGCTTTCCCAGGGTGGGGCATTATTATTGTTAAGGCCAATCCCATCGATGCGCGTTGTACTCTGCCTTCCATGTGTCTCGGTGTGCAATGAGAGTGACTGTGGTCCTCATGCAGCTCTGAATCACCTCAACAATCGGGTCTCGTAAGCAGTTTGGTCCTTCCACTTCATCTTGGTCCAAGTCAGGGACACGGGGAAATTCTTTCTCAGCTTGCTAGGGTGCACAGAGCTATTTTCTTGCATTCTTACAAATGTGAGTGGGGTCAGATCCAATTCCCTTTGAAATCACTCGGAATAAGTCCATTGCCTTTAGCGTGTTTTCTGTAAGGCCCTTAAGTCTCTGTCTCACCTTCTGGCCTGTGAAAAGAACAATACCTGTATAAATCCATATTCCCACTTGAACCTTCCTTCTTTCACTTAATAGAGACTCAAATTCTCTTCAATGACACTGTGCCCAAAAGTGAATTGCACCCAATGGTGACAAAAGCCTGAACTAAGACCGGACCGCCCCTTCTGTCACCCATGTTGTCTCAAAGGACTGCATTTAGATGATTTCCTCATGGGTCACGGGAAGGGATGGAGGCTTGGGACAAGAAGCAGGGCTCTTTGATAGAAGGCATTTGAGTGAAGCCCTGGAATGTGAACTCTGTCTGAAACAGTCTCTCTGAGACTGAGCTGACAAAAATGCGAGGTCTTGTTGTAAGACAATGCAGCTGACTAAGCCCTGGAAGAAGCCCAGGAGAGATGGAGCTCAGGGGTTCTCGGTGAAGGAGGAGATGACTATGGGACGAGAATGCACATGTGGCAGAAAACATCCCTGCAATAAAACGAATGATGTTTTAACTGTGAAATGCATCCCTAGGAGTGTCTCCTACATCCCAAGAAGAAGGTGAAAATGGCTTCCTTCTAATTTTGAGTCCCTGAAGCAATTGTGCTGATTTCCACCAAGAGGGAACCTTTCATTTTCTATTAAAATATACTTTAAATGACAAATAATGAAGTTCATTTGAATGAAAATATAATATCCCATATCCCATGACTCTCTGTCGTGACCCAATTAATGGTGTGTCACAAGAGACCTTGGCCTCTTCTTTTTAAAAGAGTCTCTATTCCTCTGGCAGAGGCATCTAATCCCACAATCATTGAACGTCTTTAAGACTCTGCCCCTTTGCCTGTATGAAGCACCCATGAGTCTTCTGAGGTCCTTTAAAATCTTTGTTTTGAAGAAGGCTCTATAATTTCCAGCATTAACACTTCATGTGCCTGTTTAATAGGGGTTGAGAATAAAAGCACAATGAGGTGAAAGTCATGCGGGTGTGAGATGCAGAAACAACCAACGTTTCTTTGATAGGATAACGAGCCTTGTGGATAAGGGAGAAGCGGTGGATGTCATATACCTAGACTTTAGTAAGGCATTTGATACGGTCTCGCATGATATTCTTATTGATAAACTAGGCAAATATAACTTAGATAGGGCCACGATAAGGTGGGTGCATAATTGGCTGGATAACCGTAGTCAGAGAGTTGTTGTTAACGGTTCTAAATCCTGCTGGAAAGGGATAACAAGTGGAGTTCCTCAAGGGTCTGTTTTGGGACCCGTACTGTTCAATATCTTCATCAATGATGTAGATATTGGGATAGAGAGTACGCTTATTAAGTTTGCAGATGATACCAAACTGGGTGGGGTTGCAACTTCTTTGGAGGATAGGGACATAATTCAAAATGACCTTAGCAAGTTAGAGAAATGGTCAGAGGTAAACAGGATGAGGTTTAATAAGGAGAAATGCAGAGTGCTCCACTTAGGAAGGAACAATCAGTTCCATACATACAAGATGGGAAGCGACTGTCTAGGAAGGAGCATGGCGGAAAGGGATCTAGGGGTCATAGTGGACCACAAGTTGAATATGAGTCAACAGTGTGATGCTGTTGCCAAAAAAGCAAATATGATTCTAGGTTGTATCAACAGGTGTGTTGTAAGCAAAACTCGTGAAGTCATTCTGCCGCTCTATTCTGCACTAGTTAGGCCTCAGCTGGAGTACTGTGTCCAGTTCTGGGCGCCACATTTCAAGCAAGATGTGGAGAAATTGGAAAGGGTACAGAGAAGAGCGACAAGAATGATTAAAGGTCTAGAGAAGCCTATGAAGCCAGGCTTCATGAACTGGGCTTGTTTAGTTTGGAAAAACGAAGATTAAGGGGGGACATGATAGTGGTTTTCAAATATCTAAAAGGGTGTCACAAGGAGGAAGGAGAAAATTTGTTTCTCTTGGTTTCTGAGGACAGGACAAGGAGTAATGGGCTTAAAGTGCAGCAGGGGAGGTTTAGATTGGACATTAGGAAAAAATTCCTAACTGTCAGGGTGGTCAAATATTGGAATAAATTGCCAAGGGAGGTGGTGGAATCTCCCTCTCTGGAGATATTTAAGAACAGGTTAGATAGACATCTGTCAGGGATGGTGTAGACGGAGCTTGATCCTGCCTTGAGGGCAGGGGGCTGGACTCGATGACCTCTCGAGGTCCCTTCCAGTCCTATGATTCTATGATTCTATGATATTTCTGACTCATCCTACTACATGCTGAACATGAAGTTCATCACTTTTCAAACATTATTGTTTGAAGCTGTTCACCACCTTGAACCGTTCTTTTCAGAATGTCTTTGGCAATGGCTGTTAAGATGGAGAGCAACGATCTCTTGGCCCGTAATTTGTTTTAGCATAGGCCTGTAGAAATTTGTTCTGTTAGACTATTTCAGCCCAAATTTCTTGCCATTCCTGCCCTTGTTTGTCTACACTTTTGCACAAGGAATGCAGTGCAATGGGGAGGAACAGACTTTTGGGGAATCATTGTGTTTATGATCATGACATACAAGCTATGCAAACTCCATGATCTACAGTATTTGTGAAGCATTGTCCTTGAGTCGTGTTATGGAACATGATGGGGTAAGCGAGCCTTTAGGACCAATTGTGGTTGAGTGGCACTCATATTGCATAAGAAGTAGGGAGAGTCCTGACCATTACTTGCATGAGGTGAAGATGTGGCCAAAATGGATGACACTTTATTGTAACCGGGATTGCCTAGTTTTATTTCTGAATAGATTTAAATTGGTGATCTTGTAATCTTGGTTAGTTTTGTTTGGAAAAATTGCTTCTTCATACTTGAACGTAATAATACCAATTGGGGGACCTATGTATCTCAAATCTTAACTATATTATTAATACCTTAGGGTATGTCTACACTACCCCGCTAGTTCGAACTAGCGGGGTAGTGTAGACATACCCTCGGGGACTGCCAGGTTAGTAACAGTGGCTATGGGACGGGATAGCACATGTTGCAGAAAACATCCCTGCAAGAAAATGAATGACGTTTTAAGTGTTAAATGCATCCCTAGGAGTGTCTTCTACATCCAGAGAAGAAAGTGGAAATGGCTTCCTTTCCTTTTAAGTCCCTGAATCAAATGTGCTAATTTCCACCAAGAGGAAACCTTATCTTTTAAACACCAAATGAAAAATTATATTTGAATGACAATAAAATATCCCATATTCCAAGACTCTGTCATGACCCAGTTAAAGAGGTTCCACAAGAGACTTTGGCCTCCATTTTTTTAAAGTGACTCGATTGCTCATTGCAAAGGCCCCAGAGTAATTTAACACTTTTTACGACTCTGCCCCTTTGCCTGTATGAAGCACCCATTAGTGTTCTGAGGGCCTTTGAAATCATCATTTTGGAGAAAGCTCTATAATTTCCAGCATTAACACCTTCATATGTCTTTTTAATGGGGTTGAGAATAAAAGCACAATGAGGCAAAAATCACATGGGTATAAGATACAGAAACAGAAACACAGCCTCATATTTCTGACTCGTCCTACCACAGGCTCAATGCAAAGTGCATCCCTTATCGACAGCAAGGGTAGTAACAGGTCTTGTTCTAAAAATGAGCTTCCTGGTATCTAGGCTTTAACAGTCTTCTTTATACATGAAGACAATACTTCTCCAAAGAGCCTACAATCTATCCTATGTCCATCATTTCTATATGTGTGGTAGCGATGTAAATCACAGCATATCGCCCAAGCATCAAAAACTTGCTTTAAAGCATGTCACCCATTATGATGAAAATGCCCAATGCTCAGCGTGTACAACTTTTTCTGTCCATGGAAACACGTCTCTCTTTGGCGGATCAGAATAGTGCAGAATTCTTTCTGATTTGTCAAATGCGGTAGGGCGCAAGTCAAATCTGTAGTCCAGACTTCTTTACAGACGAGGATAATCATTGTCCTAAGGAATGTCAGGCATGTATATTTCAATTCTGTTCATGTGCAGTGCAGGAATAACATCCCATACATTGGCTTCAAATGGGAAAATATTTGATACCATCTAATTGAAATCTGTTCAGACGTAACTAGTCATGAATGAGCCAACACCTACAAACAAAGGTAGTGAAACTGGACTGCAGATCTTTTGATTGTTGATCTTGCTTCACACTTACATCAGACAATGTTTCGCCCAACACTGCCCCAAAACTCAGCCAACTAAAATGAGAAAAGACCAGAATAAGCCTCTTTAAGAGGTATTCTCAGGGGAGGGACGTGTTTGGAAGTGGCAAAGGGTAAGTGTCCACTGGGGGGTCAATAGCTCCAAGTTAGTAGCAGCCATGAGTAGTCCCAATTGTTTTCATTCACCAGCCACTCCTTGTCTGACCTTCACCTTAATGTGCCTCCATTGACCACTGTGGCAAACTGGTGTAATTGTAAATTTCATGGTGGATTGCCTGAGGCTTCCTCAGATCTAAGCATTTAAAGCACTTCACAACTACTCATTAAGATTGATATGGCCAAATACTTGTATTGTTATAAGAGTAATAACATTTATTGGGATTACGGGTTCTTATGACAAACATTAGATCCACTTTGAAAACTTTAAAAATGTATGTCA